CCCCCCACCCGCCCACCTTCCGGTCCATCAGCTTGATCTGCTCATAGTCCGGGTGCAGCAGGTACATCTCAGCAATGCCGCCCACCATCACGCCAATAGAGACCCCCTGGGGGTTGCGCTTCACGACCCGCGTCTTCTTCGCAGCCGCGTCCGCCGGCGCGCCGACCGCGAGCGGCGCCGCCGTGTCGTCGTCGCTGCTGTCGCTGTCGTCGGCGGTCTTGGCCGCGGGCTTCTCCCCGGCGGCCTTGGCCGCCTTGCGGGCCGCCTTGGCGGCGGCGCGGAGGCCGACGCGGGTGCCGAGGGCGAGGAGGCGGCGGAAGTTGCGCTCTGTGGCGGCCATGGTGCCGAGCCAGGTGTGGACATGGCGCCAGATGGGCACCAGGAACGAGTTGTTGGCCGCCAGGGCGTAGCAGTTGTACTCTGGTGTGTGTGGGGGGGGGGACCGGCGAGGCAGTGGGCTGGTGGAACGGCCGCCCAGCCTGAGTTCCCCGTCACATCGCCTGCGTTACGGCAGACCAGCGGGCCTCACTGATCCTGTAAGCTGCCAACCCACCACTCAACCACCGATGCCACCAACCCCTGGCCTCTCCACTGCATGCATGCACACACCCAGGGGTGCGCACCAGGGTACTCTGTGGCCATGAAGGTCCCGCTCAGCAGGCTGCCCATCTGGCAGTGGTGGGTCGGAGGAGGGGGTGTGGCGTGGCTGGGTCATGTCCGCCCCACCATGGTGTGAGGCCCAGCATGTGCATCAGGCAGCAGACCCACACACGCAGCCAGCCGCCCGACCCACGCGCCCGCGCCGGTCCCCACGATCTGCCGCGGCCCGCGGCCGCCCGCGGCAGCGCACTGGGAAGGCGCCGTGCGGGAACTGGGCGATCACGTAATCCTTGTAGGCGTTGAGTGACTCATCAAACACAAAGCTGAACTTGAAGTAGCGCCGCCACGTGAGGAACAGGTAGGAGCCCAGCACGCGCCGCCACGCCAGCGGCCGCAGCGGCAGGAAAGCGGACCCCGAGACGAGCAGCAGGGCGAGGCGCGCCCAGGGGTAGAAGAAGCAGAGGACGAAGAGCGTGAGGAGGATCTGGGGGATGCCGATGTAGAGGCCGAGGCTGACCACTGCCAGGGCCTTGGTGAAGAGGTTGGGCTCGTAGTCCTCGTCCATGCCGTCAGAAAAGTAGACCTTGCCGTTCTCGACTGCATACTCGGCAGGCGGGCGGTAGATGCGTTTCGGGGGCCGCTCCGGCAGCAGCTCCCACGCGGCGAGGCGCAGTAGGTACGACAGCGTCAGCCGCGGCCCGCGCACGGGGCGCTTCGGGAGCGGCTCGACCGCGATCCCGGGGCGGTCGCGCTTCATCTCCGTGGGGAGCGCCGCCTTGGCCTTGGGGGCGGCGGCGGCGGCGGCGGGGGCGTCGCTGCGCGGCGGCGCCATCGCGGCGGCGGCGGCCGCGGCCCGAGTGGTGGGCAGCCTGGCCGCGCGAGTAGGGGTCCACGCGGGGGCCTGCTGGGCCGGCGCTCGCCGCTCGGCAGGTGGCCTCAAGGGCCCGGGGACAGGGTGACACAGGCGGGTGGCCGGACAACGCTGAGACACTCAGCTGCACCCTGGGCAGCGATGGCAGGGACAAGGTGATGATGCATGCACGGGTTGTCAACGCCGTCATACTATCCAGCACAGGGGTTGGGCTTAGCTGCAAGAGCACGCAGGCGAGGGCAGCGCTGCAGGCGCACCGCAGCAAGTGGGGGCGCGATGGCCACCTGTAAGCACTGATCCCGCCATAATTGTAATCATTCTGCTTCCAAAGATGTCATTAGCACACAGAATGGCTGAGCTGCTCACCTGCTGGTTTGCGCAGCTCGAGCAGTGTCCGCGCGAATAGCACTGGCTAAGCTCAATCCTTCACGACAACAATGATTGTACAAGTTCCAAGAAATCGACGGTGCCGTTCGCTTGGAAGCTAGCCTTGTACTCAGGTACAGCAGTAGGCCACGGGGAAGCTGGCGCCAAGCCTGGCTATTATTTTGTCTCACAATGTTGGACCTCGACCAGTACCTTACGGTACTCAGCGTACCGTCAGCCAGTGTAGTTCAGGCCTGCTGTGGCTGAGCGCACTCTGACCCGCCGCCTGGAAGTTACGCCACCTGGTCATGACTGTGCACACTGTCGTCATGGATTATTACACTGTTGGCATGGCAGCAAAATGTACCCAGTGACGCCATGGCGCCCAAAATGCCTGGGGCGGCGGGGTCTTTCCCTGAGACAGGCCACGCATCCAACATCAGCGTCGCCATGTTTGTGAACCACCAAAACCATACGAATCACAACGTGTGTGTCAGCTTGCATTGCATCACTTGCGCACCTTCTCCAAGGGTCTATCAAGCAGCATTAGCGACCGTCCGCTGGCCGGCACGGTCCCTCCACCGCCCCGACCCGCCGCACCCGGCAGCGCCCGCGCCCCCCGTCCTGCAACGGCGGTCGGCGACGACAGCGACACCGGGCGGTCAAGCAGCGCGCATGAGGCTGTGCTGCCGGCGCTCGAGCCGCTGAGGCTGGCCCTGATCTTGGCGGCCTTCTTGGATGCCGGGCTGTGGGATGGCTTCTGGTCCGGACAGGGCCGCTTCTTGACCTGTTGCAGCGTCTGCTGCAGCTGCTGCAGCGTCTGCTGCTGCTGCTGCTGCTGCTGCTGCTGCTGCTGCTGTTGCTGTTGCTGCTGCTTCTGAATCTGAATCTGCTGCCGCGCATCCTGCTGCTGCTTGTATACATGCTTACGCTCCTGCTCCTGCTGCTGTTCCTGCATCCGAACCTGCTTGTGGACCTGCTGGTGCCTATTACTGCCCTGCTGCTGCTGCCCCTGCTTCTGCCCTTGCTGCTGCTGCGCCAGCAGCTGCTCCAGCTCCGCCTGCCGCTGCTGGATCTTCTGCTGTAACCGCTGCGCCGCCTGATCCGCCACCATTGCCGCGGGTTTGGAGAGCTGCTGCTTCTGTTGCGGCTGCCGCTGCTGCGATGGCGTTTGCTGGGGCGGCGGGGGCGAGCGTTTTGGCGGGGCTGGCAGCAGCCAGCTTGGCTGCGGCTGCGACGGCGGCTGCCGCTGCAATGCCGGCGACTGCTGCTGCGGCTGCGCTACCTGCTGGCGCGCCGACGCGACGCTCGCCGGCGGTGGCGAGGGCTGCGGCCGCTGGGGCGGCTGCACCGCGCGGGGTGGTGGGGGTGTCCTGGGCCGCTGCTGGTGCACAACGCGCGGCTGCGGCCTGCCCCCCAGCAGGTCTTTGATCACCACGGCCTCTGTGTGGCGGGCGGTTGAGGGCGGTTGGGACGTGGTTGGCAGGGGAGGGGGCTGCCCACTGGTGGGAGGCGTTGGACCCGGAGGTGGGGCCAACGACGCCAGCGCGGAGCACAGGGTGTCGTGCGATGCGACGCCATGGTGCTGGACAACCACTTTGCAACACCAAGCAATGGATAACTGCCGGTTGCCACTCACTGGGCTTGCCCATGATCGTCTGACTGCTGCCGCCGCCACTGCTTGTGGCCTTGCCGCCGCCCGCGCCC